GCGTGGCCTTGTGGGGCGGAGCAAACAAACAAAGGTTAAGCCAAAAGCCAGAGGTGACCGAAACCGCAACCGAAAGCAGCAGTTGCCACTTCCACATCCTGCTGTTTTCATTGTTCGTGCGGCATGTACTGGCAATTAATTTGCATGCGAAGCCATTTTAGAGTTTACACATAGACAAAGAAATTCTCTGGCATTTCCCCCTGGCGAGTTAAAAAGCTCACAACATTCCTTGACCACTTTCCGCTCTATGGAAACTTCAATGTTTTCCCAGCAGCCATTTTGTGGAAATCGCATCTTATAGCTGCATGTGTGCTTAATGCCGCGCAATGGGCCATTGGAGAAAAATGCCAGAGAGGATTTTCCATTTATCCCAGCATCGCCACTTCCAGCTGAGTTTCATTTCGATAAGTTAATCAAAGTTTGTGTTGCTTTTGTCGCAGCTTCTTTTCTGATCCAACATTTGGCCAGAAAGTCAGCTTGTGGGGCAGCCAGCCAAAAAGCTGAAAAGTTGTATGCCATCAATGGACTAAAATTAACGAGAACTGAAAGAAAACAGATCGCTCCGAGCCGGAAAAGTCAATGATTTTGCAAAGTTTTCTTCGCTTTACAAGCGATGATACAGCATTCTTTAAGTTAAGTTGAAGGAAGTGAAACTTAAAGGGCTTTGAAAGAATGCAAAGGTAAAACGAAAAATAAAGTTAAATTCTTATAAAATAATCATTTGGGAAAGGCCAAAAATTGCACAAAATTAAATTTTAGAACCGGGATAGTCTAAAAATATCAATATAAATATTTATCTAAAAGCAATTTAAACTCCTATCATGAAACATCAACAGCCCCAATTACTGACAGCAAGCAATTTATGGTTCTTGGTATCGAAAAAGACAAATCGAAAGCCCAAAAAATAACGAGAGAAATTTCAATATTTTGGTTGATTTATGGGCACTTCCGAAATTGATTGCCCATATATGTACACCCAGTAAATCAAGGGATATGAATCTGCTGATTTAATTGAGAATAAAGAATGACGGGTATGCAGAGTAATCGTGTTTTATGTTTGTAAAGTACACGCAATACCCAATTCAGAATGCAACAAAGATTAGAGAAAGTAAAATGCATTTGCTGGCCGCGGGGAAAATGTACAGCGCATATTAAACCACAAGGAAAATGGGGGCGTGGCGCGGTGGAGCCGTAAACTGCCAGCGAGCGGCAGTAAAATATGAAATGCCATAAAGATATATGTTCATATATATAGAGAACAAGAAGCCCTAAAAACCAAACAGACACAAAAGTAACATAATTTTCCGCTTGAAATGCGCTTGAAAGCGTTTCCCATATTTCTTACCCCAGTGCCTCATTCTGCATTATTTATACACCACACATCCTATGGAAAAAATAGAATATAAGCGGCCACAAATAAATTGAGAAGCGGCAAGATTTATATGCAGCAGAAGCAGCAGCAGCGAAATAAGTTTCCGAGTGGAGCAAAACTGAAATTCAATTTATGCGATGTAAAGTAAAAGTTTCTCCTCTGGACACCTGAGCTCCTTTAATACTGCGAGTTGGAGTTGCCACCACCAAAGTTTCGGTGAAAGAAACCCTAGGCCAGACCCCAGGATACCTCCACACATACATGGATGCGTCCTGACCAAACATTAAGGTGAAATGTATGCGCCTGGAGGTATGCAACATTTTGTCTACGACACCCGAACGGCCGACAGGACGAAAACGAAAACTGGGCGAAACAGAGCGGAACGGTTGGGAACGAAGGGAAATTGCGGGCTGGAGCTTGTCACGCACGGTGGTTTCTGTGGTTCCAACACAAAACCCATCCTCGTCCATCAATCATGGCTTGCAGGAGACTAGGAGTATATGCATGTGTGTGGCTGTACATGTGTGTGAGCTGGTTTCGGGTTCCATTTCGTCGTTAGGTTGCCTGCAACAAATCGGCGTAATGTGCGGTGTTTGCTGCACTTAACGAGTACATTCTTTGCCCACCCAACCAATCAGCCAGCCATCCTTTTGGTCCCCACTTTGTGGTCAGTCTTGTGCAATTGCGACCATCAATCGTGAGCGCTTCGGATACCGCTCTCAAAATTTAATTGACTTTGATTTTGCAAAGTTTGACATATGTCAATGACTGATGACCGTCTAATTTGACCCGTTTTGTGTGCTGATTAAGTGACAAATGTTTGATGTTTTGTGAAATGGATATCGATGAAAAAAATAATCAACCGAAAAACCAACAGAAACAAATTGGAAAATTTTTTTTTTTTTTTATTATTTTCCATTTGACAGGTGACACTTTATTTTGAAAATGCGAAATGAAACTTTTATTTTGAATAATAATAGAGTTTTTGTGGTTGGATATTTTATAATTGGAAATATTTTTTAATTGGTTGTCTGCCTTTGTGATTATTCCATCAAATTGTAGTTGGAAAATCAAATTATTATGGTTTCCATATGTGGTTGTTTGATATATTAGGAAGGCATTCCTGAACTGATTTCTTGAAAAATCCAAATTTAAAAATAAGCTAAATAACTAATAATAATAATAATAAAATAATTTATCATAAATTCATTTTAGCCCTTACGGATATTCCGCTCACCACTTAATGTTAAAAGCAAATTATTGAATTGATCCTAGAAAATTTCTAAAATAATTTATACAACGTAATGCGTTTCAAAGTATTTACCACATATATGAGCTCACTTAATAGCATTTTGCCTGGCAGCTTTTGGATTGTAATTAACACCTCGAAAGAGCCAACGTGACTCAGTAACAAACTGAAAACTGAGACTCGAATCGGCCAAAAAGAGAGAATTATGCACAGAAATAAACAGAGAGAAATGCGAAGCGTGAGCAGATTCGGCTAATTGAAAAGAGCCCCATCTCGACGTGTTGCAAATTAGTAAACAGATTCTCAACTGCACATCGCCATATCCAAGGGAGGCGAGAGTGGGCGTGGCACTTGAGAGGAGGTGGTAGTCCAAATAACGCCTAAAGGGAAGTTGAGAGGATAGGGGGCAATAAGCAACTCTAAAGTCGGGTGTTAAATTATTTATGAAAGCCGCTGGCGACCGGCAACAACGCACACATTTGAAGCCAGTTTGGGCCACATTAAGTCTCAGATGAGCCACCAAGCCGGCTGAGTAAGTGAGATGGAGAGCCAAAGCAACGCAGATCCACTGTGTGCCAATTAATTATTCATAATTAGCTGCTGACTAAATGTTTAACTAAATCAGAGGACGTTGTGCCTTCGTCCCCGGTTGGGTGTTTATTTAAAAGATGACATTAGAAACGCAATCCGTGGGGCTAAATGTGGGTCGTTCTGCAAGGGTGGCTATTTGCCTTCGGCTCCAGAGATAAATTAAAAGCTGGACATTAGAAAGCACAAGCGTTAATTGTGATTTATGATGCAGGTTCTGGTTCCCGCTTAGAAAAGTTTTAAATAAAATATACAACAAACGCACTGATAGCAGGAAAATGTACCTGAAGTCGTCCATAGAAATATATAGAGCACATAAATAACCCCAGGGCGTTATCGGGCAATAAACTATAATAAACAAAAAAAAAAGAGAGACAATTTCATTCATGTCTAGCTGGTATATTAATGCCATGTGTATGAATGTTATGTAGTTTTGAAAAAGCAGTCTCAATTATTAAGTGGAATTTTGGAGACATTAAATACGTTTTACGGTAAATATAAGATATATGAGAACTTATTAAAATGCTTTTGCACTAAAGGTAAACGATAGCCAGTGTGTTTATAGTTGCTATCAAAACAGCAGAAGATTTTTCGGTGACTACTCTCTGTGCTTTAATCAAATATCTTCCGTGAATGAACAGCTTGATCGAATTTACTTTAAAACTTTTTTCTGTTTCAAGATAAGAAACTAGAAATTTTTGGAAATTTACATTCTAAATGTGAATCATCCACTTTATAAAAGCAATTTTATGCTTCCCAATTTATAGATAAGAAATGTGAAAATTTTAAAGCAATTATAAAATTTTACAACATTCCAAAACCATTCTTAGACCAAGTGGGAATAACCTAAATTCTGATACAAGATGCTTTAAAGCCAAAACAGATGCTGAATAAATAAGCTTTAGAAAACAAATTTAAAAGCTGATTCTACCTGATAAGTTGTCTAGAAAAGTCCAAGAAATAAAGTGCCAAGAATTCTGTTTTTAGAAATTAAACAAAAACACCTTAAATAGCAAATGTATCCCTGAATCACACTTCCAGGTCTTCATTATGACCCATGCTCGCCTCATTGAATTGCTAATTAAAATAAAAGCAATGGCAGGACAACCTTCAGATGTAATTGCCAGGAGAGGAATTTGTCATTCAGTAAAACCAATTTACCGACGGTGGCCGTTCGTCTCCTTCGCACCTGGGCAATTCCAGTTCACAATCCGTTTCCTGAGAAATTTCTTGTAGCTTAGTGAGAATTTTACTTGACGTTTTTCCCCTTTTTCTGGCTGGCAAGATGGGGAAGCAGGGTGAAGCTGACTCTGCTTATGTCTAGCCGCTGTCTACACAAGGGCATACACACACATGGACAGACCGCACACACTCACACACAGGGAGTCCTGAGACGACGCAGTTGTTGTCATTCGGCCAACAGCAACAACAACAATAAAATGACAGCTTTATATTTGTGTAAATATTTATAAAACAACCGGCAAGAATTCTTGGCCAACTCAGGTGTTGGCTTTTAGCACACGTGTGCGAATATTTTGCGGGCAGTCACTTAAGAAATCTGTGGAAAAAACTCGGCTTTAACCTGGCTTCCAGTCTAGACGAGATGCAAATGTTTAATGGGGTCGTAGGTCAAATCAAGCACACACAAACACAATCACAGCCAGAGAAAATAGCACAGTTTCTTAACTTATTTCATTTAACTATTGTATTTTTCCATCACTATAAGAACTTTTATCACTTGATATCTTATATTTTAGTCATAGTTTATTTTTGCATTATTTTTTTACTCACTCTGCTATGGATTTAGATAACGGCCAGCGCTCCATTGAGGCCTGATATTTCATATTCTCGATTTGCTTCTTTAATGCGTCCCGATCCATGTTTTGTAGAGCACTGGGATCCATGGCGGCTAAAATTTATCCACATACCACCCCTGCAAAGAAGAAATTGTACGTGAGAGCGTGAGAGAGCGCAACTCTGGGGGTATTTGTGAGAGGAGAGCCCTTGCTATAAAAGCTGCAAAGGCTTTTCTCTCGTTTTCGGCGGTCTGTTGTGTGCTAATTTGTTGAGATGAGCGGTGACAGGGTGACTTTTGGACGAACTGAACCGGAATTCGGAACCCTATATCCCCAAAAAAAACATTTCCCGGTCCCAGTTTGCAGGCAATTTCAAAGCGGAGATTGCGCAGAGCATGCATAACAAATCAATAGAGAGCAAAATTTTGGGGAGCGAATGGCCAGGTTAACAGTGCCGCCTAAAAGGCTGCCATAAACTCTGTTGACTTTTCCGCCGCCTCTTGGCAGGGTGAAAAACATTTGTTTACAACTGAAAAAGCATGGAGGAGAATAAGGAAAAATCCAGCAAAGGCATAAAAAGGGCGCGTCCCATAGCCAAAAACTTCGAAATGCAAATGAAGAACGAACAGCTGAGACTGCAATGTCCGCTAATACTCACATCCCATTCTCGCATTTCGGCCATCCGGAGCCGGCTTATGTGTTGTAATTTATGAAACTTTCTTTGCAACGTGTGTTTACCCAGTTAAAGTCGTTTTGGCTTCTTTGGCAACCATAAATAACCCTCACAAAAGGGCGTGCGATGGAAATCTATAGAGAGCGAGAAGATAGTGGGGGGAAGGGAGCTGGAAAAACCAAGAAGCATTTTGCGTGCCCTTAGACAATTAGTTTTTGCTGTTTACACTTTATGCCGGCATTAAAGGCAAAGCACCCTTTGGGGGTGGATTCGGACAGTGATGGAGATAATGGGCGAGATAAAAGGCTAAAGTTTAGATACTTCGGGGATGATAAATTGAAGGGATGCGGAATTGGTTAACCAGAGAAGCCATTCAAGAATTTAATCAAGCAAAAATGTGTAAATAAAGGAAGAAGGTTAAAAGGTACTTTACGATGCAAAGGCGTTTTAAATTTACAAAATTTTAAAAACAGGAACCAGAAAAACAAAATATTTTATAATATTATATTAGTTTTAGGGTTTAGTTAATGATTTCAAATAAGTTTAAGTCAACATTTGTGTTAACTAACAGAGGATGAAACAAACGATAAATGTTCCATAACATGGTTATGGTTAGTCAGGACACCAACCCTTGCTGACACAGTTAGCACTAACAGCCTAAAATATCGCATGCTAGAAAAAGTTAGCCAACAGACTTCTTAACATAATGTTAAGCTCCTAACGACTTCTTGGCCCCATTCTGATCCCTTATATGGATGAAAAAAAACAGCAAGCCCAAAACTCATCGGTAGACAATCAAAAACTAATACTAAAATCAAATAAAAAGCCACAAAAAAGTGGCAAAAAGTGAGGAGTTTTTTCCAAGTATGGGCCATTCACGAAAAAAAAGGAAAATAAGGAGGAGCCAGTTCCTGCCCAGAACTCAGCGAAGCGGCTGAGGATACAACATGACAGCCCAAGGATGAGGATGACACCGAAGCACAGCTGACGCTTTTGTAGGTGTAACTTTAAATACAAAAAAGGACGAACTGGCCAGTACCACGCCCCCTTGCCCCCTGCCCCAGCTGCCTTTTTCCTGTCCAGTTTGATACATCATTTTTTGTCGCTTCGCTGGGTAACTTTGACACAGGTCCTGTGTCCTCGGTCCATTGTCTCTGGACCTCTGTCCACGGCTTGTTTGCATCTCCTTCGCAACTAGCCTCTCTCCGAAGGACCTCGCTTTTCCACAGCTGTCAGGCTGCTAAAGGATTTTAGGCTTTAACCCAATCTGCTACTGCCGTTTCAACGAAAAGTTGCTCCTCTCGACAACCTGCGGGTTGTTTGCAATTTTTGTTTTTCCAGGAAAGCTTTAAGCTCAGAACCCACTCTGGTGTCTGGTGACACTTTTGGCCAAATGTGTTAATGGCAAAATTGTTGTAAAACAGCTCAGATTTAATATAGCCGAAGTGCAGGCAATGGGGATTATGGGGAAAGCAGGAAGTTTATATGGAACATGCCCCTCTTGCTATCCCATCCTGACATGTCCTGGCACATGTTGACAGCACTGACCAGCAGGAACACTAAAAGCTTTAAAGTTGGTTTAATTAAAACTTTTCAAAGTTGTCCCACCAAAGGGATTCGATGAAAAGAGGGCAAAATAGAAGGTCCAAATGTTTCTAACTAGTTGGAAATTCTAGTTAATTTTGCTGGTAAAATGTTTCTGGTTAATTGATGAGTAACTTTTACACATTTCACAGATCAAAGAACTTAATGGAAGAGATAATCAGGCATCATAATCTTTAAAGGGAGAAACACTTAAGATACCGTGTTTCAGTATCTCATTGTCACAGAAGCATTAATAATGCAAGACAGGTACAAATTTTAAGTACGAAATGTTTGTACTTTCTTCTAAAACTTCCTCCTCCTAGCAAGAAAATGTAAGCGCAATTCTCCCTTTGGAGGTTGTGTTTACTAATGCACTTAGCTTTGTTGGAATTTTCCCCCAGCGAATTCCAATCTACTCTCTTAGCCTCTAGCTGCTTAAGTCACCAACTAATCCGTGACATCATCGCTTCCACTTAAAGTGCAACACCATCCAGTAAGAGAGAAAGTGAAAGAGGAGAGTTCGAGGAGGAAGCTGCCACCGAAGAGCCCCATTTAACCTCGATGGCAAATCTTCAACGTAAAACTAAACTAATTGCTTCGAGCTATTGCCGCCATCGACCATGCAGCCCTAAGTCCTCGTTTTGCGGCTGTCCTGAAACCCAATATGATGGCAATGCGCCATTAAGCACCGATGCACCACCAGAGGCAACCCTACTCGACTGAAAAAGTAGCAGAAATTTGTCTGGGGGCGCAAGGAAGATGCAGGAACGACGGCGATTGTGGGGGTGAAAAAGTCAGCATGCAACGGACATAAATCGTTAGCAAAATGTTTTTGGCGGCTACAAGCGGCAGCCACAAACCAAAGTATTTTCCCCTCCCACTCGACTCCCCAAGTGTTTCGCGTGTGTGTCAACAGGCGTTCAAGTTTTTTGACACCCCCTCTGCCTCACGCCGAATTCATGTTCTCAAAACCCACCCATTGCAAAAAGCCCCCTCTCATAAAGCAGAGTCTTTCTGGAAGCGACAAGGACAACTGCGACAAGTCAAGTGATTCCTTTTTCCCAGGATTTCCCAAGCAAACGAAAACAAATTGTGAGGCCTGCCGGAGAAGTTACTCAATCTCATGGTGGTACAGAAAAAGCATGGTATGTATGTTAGTATCTATTTTCTCGTTAATAGATACACCCTAATGGTCGCTCACCATTTTTCCACCAATTTGGGCATTTCCTAGGGCCCACTTTTAGCCTGCGTCCCTCCGATATTGTTACAATAATTGGCATTAGCCCGAGTGTCCTTCGGTGGCTGCCTTCTGGGGTGCGGGAAACGATTTCAGCTTGTTAGCTTAATTTTAAATGCGGAAAATTTCCGCTCGACACAAAATACTTTGGGGCATATTTTCATTGTTGGCCCAAGAAATTGTAAGGTGAGTGAAATTCCAAAGAATTTCGCTGAAGAGAAAAGTCTAAAGAGGAATTAACATATATAAAGAAGAGCAGGCTGCTCTAATTGGATGGGATGGAAATTTGCATGGTCCTCTGGCGATAAGACCCAGTAATATAAAATAAAAATTCGCTATAACAAAAAGGTGCTGAAAGCCTACTTATATCAGTATCTCTTAAAATATCACAAATATCTAACTTTTTTTAACTTTGTAGAACAACCACTACTTTAGCCACTTTTCAACTTTTCACCGTAGCAATCAAATCGCAATCATCTAAACCCATTTTCATTTAATTATAACTTGAAAGTTGTTCAAACTTTACTTTATGTTGGCGAAATAGCGTTTGTCACGTTTTAAAGCAAGCAATCCAAACATGACAGGACAAATATTTATCCAGTCATTAGCGACGTTTCATTCGGTTACCTTTTTGCGGCTGCAAAGACTTCAGCAAACTAACACCAAAACTGAAATAAAACTGAAGCAAAAACTAAAGCTGCACTAAGAAAAACAATGATTTTTTTGTAAGAAAAAAAATGTTAACAAATATTTTCAGAGTATTTTAGCCATTTCAAACTTAGAATATACGAAATTTTCTTTTTTAAGATAATCAAAATTCCAACTAAATCATACATCCTTAATTTTTCTCAGTGTTCAGCAGCAAAGCGATGGGGACAACAATTTGTTCCAAATAACTTTCAGCTGGCAAACTTTTTGAAGGGGAAGCTTAAAGAGGGGATTCGGTTTGGGAGAGTGTCGACAACAACTAACAAGAACCGCAAACAAGCAGCCCGACTATGAGTTGTTAGAGCCGCGATAAAGTGCGAGAACCCACCGTCACCAACAAGCTGAGCAAACCAGCCCACACATTTTGCTAAATCAATTTGCAGAGCTAAATAATTAAAATACAGTATGATGACGTTCGGTTTTGGGGTCTTTGGGCAATCTGTTGCCGTTTGTATTTGGGTGGGCATTTTCGGTCAGGCAATGCCTGGGTTAGCCTGGCTTATTAGCCAGCTTAGAATGCGTTAAATTATGGCCAACAAATTCAAATTTACACATGATTCTCTACACGGAGGGCAGTTGTGGGAAAGTGAAGAGATGCGAAGTATCAATAGTGTTGTCCGTATACTACAGATACAGACAGCACTATGTTTATATATCTAATAGATAATTTCTGCTTTAAAATTTAAAAAAATATGTGTATATAAGAAGAATCCTAAATATCAATATTAAGTTAAGCAGAACATTACTATAGCTAAGTAAATTTAGCTAGAAATTTGCTAAAATGGCATCAGCAAACCACACATGTTCCGAAACACACAACGCGGCGTATGCGTGATTTACACAATACCTCCCCTAAAGGTCGCCTGCCCAGTGGCCACGTGCGTCCTAATGAGGATTTCATAGCATATCAGGTAGATGTGGAGTCGCAAGTTAAA